CTTATAGTCCTTCTCCAACTTGCCCAAAATGTTACCTTGCGACTTGTTACAGCCAGACTGTCCCATGTTTTCATAAGGAGAAGGATGCATGAAGCATGATGCGCTCTAGTTTGAGCATTCACATTTGTCAGCATCTGTCTGAAGGAAGGACCAACCAGCAAAATATGCAGCTAAATATGACTACTGTATTTTCTGAGCGTTCATTTCTTCCTGGAGAACCCATAAAATGTGTATTGCAGCTGTAGTAGACCTCCGTAGAGACAAATGGCATCTGAGAGCATACCTCCTTGCAGCAACACTGCTGAGAAAGAAAGTTCAAAGGCATCCAGCTCTCTCTGGAGGATACAGCTATGTCAGACCCTGCAGGATAGATGACTAGGTACCTGTTTTAGAAGCAAAATATTACAAAGAGCTTTTTTTGCCTGAAGGCAGTAATTTGCTGAAGCACATAAGACACATTTCCCATTGGCAGGATGAAAAGAAAACTTTCACCCCATTTTTTTCTCAATACACTACATTATGTCATCCCTGAAAAGAGCTCTATTGTATGTGTGGGCCATTGCGAATAAGGATGGAAGAGGACTGCCAGGACAGCTTGTGTGCCTGTGTAAACAGGCGTTAACCCTTGACGTACAGGGTTTTGCTCCCACTGTTTTATGCCAGACACCTTGAATTGCAGCCGGGAGGTTTTGCCTGGCTTTCCTGCTATGTGTCATTAGCACAAAACTGGTGACGTGCTTTAGCCATTTTTGTTTGCTCTATGCCAAGTCTGGGAGTTCAGGAAAAAGCACTTAAATTTCCTCTTCCGCGGATGGTGAGCTGTCTCAGTTCCCTATTTGTATATGTCAGGGAGTATTTTAATCTAGGTTGCAACCTGGGCAAATACAAAGCAGAAAAGTAAATTAGATTTCACCCAAGTTAATTCTTCTCTCATTTCCTCCTATTTTACACCACTGACATTAACACAGTTAACTTTCAATTCACATTGGTACAAGTGAGAGAAAAATAGGCCCTTGAAGGTTTGGCTTTAATTCAAAACAGCTGGGCAGAGAAAAAGGTGGACTGCAGAAAGCCTATTTTCCAGGAATATGAGAGCTCACAAAGCCATTAGCTGTCCCTAAAGATATCTGTTTTAATGTATTTCTTTCGAAGTGGCATTAGTAATGCCTGCTGAATCCAAAACCCACTGTGAACAACTGACTTCCTCAATTTGGTAAGGTAGTTAAGAAGCCCAGGGTAAACTAAAAGACGCACTCACTTAACTAGAGATCACACACTTACTTATAATCTTACCCACTTTTCAGGGAATTTGTTTGTTGTCATATTGCTGACATAAACAAGCTAAAACAACGGGCGCAACTTAGCAATTAAAATCATGGATTTCATTCTTTATAAGCCAGGAAATTGTTTCCCACACATTTTGTCAAAGCTGCAGCCTTCGCAATCTGGTAACTTGCTGAAAATTGCTGTTAGCTCTTAACAAGACCTAGGGGAACATAGTAATTTGTTGTGTTGATTAACATGCATTAAGTAGAGAGACAATAATTCTCTTGTAGTAGAGGCTGTGATTTACCAGATAAGAGCATGATCAACGAGGGACACGGGTCTGTTTCCATGCTCACATCCACTTTACGTCCTCATCTTTCATGACCACTTAGGGTGCTCAATATCTTTGAGTTTCCAACCACATTTATCCTGATGCCGCATGTGGGTGTCAGTGCCTGCTGTTAAGCTCTGGATTTTGATACTCTCCACTCTCCCTGGCACTGCTTTCCCACAGCAGTGGTTTCAGTGCATGGATGGGGAGTGGTGAAAAAATTCACCCTCGCCATGCCAGGGTTGGCCATGACTGCGAGTGGAAGCAACCATGGCAGCACACGCTCAAAACCGCCTTAGTAGACGAACATCCATAAAGTCGAACACCTCATGCCATTTTTCTCTTTTTTTTTTCCTCTCTCTTCCCCCTTTTTTATTGAAGGAAGGAAGCAAAACACAGTTCCTGGTGACCATCCCAATGTGCCAGAGGAAGAAGCAGAGCTCTGGCTCTCACCCAGCTTCCTAGCCCTGAGAGCTGGAGGTGGAAACAGATTTCCCCAGCAGCACCTTGTCTCCTTGGCCATCAGCAAGCCATGTACCATGGGCTCCCTCTTGTGATTGAAATAAGCAGGGAGTTGTATTATCTGCAGAAAAACCTGGATATGCTTTTCCAATGTATGGCATGCTGGCACTGTTTTGCAACCTTTGGCATGCTACAGGAGCATGAATCCTACTAGAGTCCTTCTGGTCTGCAGTGTCCCCAAAGCCACCAGTGAAGAGAAGGGTAGCTGGTTAGGTATGGTTTACATGTGATATACATTAGCAAATATGGTGTTCTGGACCCAGTTACAGCGTCCATGGTTCCTTAATATCGAGAGCAAAAGACACAGATGGTTTTGTTCACCAGCCTTTCCTCTGTTGTAGACCCTTTAAAAGATCACATAGAAATGCTGGGCCCTAAATCTTTCAGGCAACCTGTGGGAATTGCCAAACTCCAGACCCAGACCTTATCGCTCAGGCTGCTCACTTTCTACACGCTACAGTCCATTAACACGGCTCCTCTCCGGTTCTTCGCACACTGAGCTCGGTACCAGCAATGAGCTGCCTGGTGGGTTTCGTTGCTTTCCCTGGTTACTCCATCATCTGCTAAATGCCTTACCTAAAAGATTATGCAGTTGAAAAGCCAAAAATAATTTCTTTCCCTGTGTGCTTTTCTTTGGGGTTTTATGGTTGGCTGATGCATAGCGAAGCCTGGGACCTAGGGATGGAGTGCAGATAAAACTGAATTTAGGCAGCAATTACTGTTTTCCTCTACAAAACAGCCACACAGGGAGGGAACATATTTTGTCACCTTGGCTTGGCCCATGTTTGAATTCCAAGGGGGAGGGAGGGTGTATCTGTGCCTCAGAGGTGCCTGGAAAGCAGGTTGTTGTTTTTTCATTTAAATCACAGTTCATACAGCCCCGCAGTGAATGAGCTGCTACCTGAGAGCTCACAGCCTCTGTGCAGCCAAAAAAAAATTGCAAGATGTGAACTTCCAGCTCTTTGTGTCCCCTTGTCCTTTTAGCAGCTCTCAAAAGCCAACAGAGCTGAAGACATGGGCAACTTCCAAGGAAATCTGGAGGCATTCAATAGAGGAGGTTTCCTCATTCAGAACTGAATGGAAATCTCAAGAGAAGGTGGAGCAGTTGAAAAGACATAATTTTTCTTTAGGAAAATTCTCACATTTTCTTTTTACTTTTGTTTTCCATGCCTTTTCAGGCTGAGAACACAATGTTTTTAATTTCGTAACAGAATAGATATTCTCCAAATTATCCCATTCAACAACCTTGAAGCAAATGCTCTCTTATAAACTTCACATCAGCAATGCAGAATCATTGCATTTAGGGGGTTGTTTTCTTTATTCCTCACTTTGCTGGCACCCAACCAGTCAAAATCATGCAAGAAAACATGGGAAACACTAGCAGGAAACTGGAAGCAAAGCTGTAAAATCAAAAACATGAGTAATAATTCAAAATAAAGATAATACTTTAAAACTAACTGGATTTCAGGACACTCTCCCAAGCATGATTGTACCACTTTTTAATGCTGGTAATCCTTCAGACAACTTCAGGAGGATTTAATAGGAAATTATCTTTCTGAAGAGCACACACTCATAAGACTTTTAAGAGAGTTCCTGGTAATAAATATCCCTTTGAGGACTCCTGGCACATTTATCTTGTGTAAGGACATCTGAATTTAGCCATGAGAAGGGGATGGGTCTCCAGAAAAGTTTTAGTAATGACTTACTATGATTTTTTTCAGATTGCTTAGCTACTTAGGAGCTGGTATCCACACACACACACACAGATACTCATGTGTAGAGATATCCTCAGACCCTAAGGACACACACACACACAAAAAGACTTTCTACGTAGAGCTTTCTTTGGCATTCACCAGGCTTTTCCATACATGACCTCATGCATGTAAGCTGTCAGCTAACACGGAACAACTAGCGTAACAGCCACAAAACAAAGCAGAAAAAAAATCAAAATGGCCTCAAAGTTTTTTCATGTCACCAAAACATATGAAGTGCAAGAGTGCTTTGAAAATCAAAGCTTGCTCCCAGGCAGGTTTTTCAGTGGACCTGCAATATGTTGCATCTTAAATGCCCCCCAGCATTCCAGTTCAGCTCAGGTAATGCCTCATAGTGTTGGATGATGGTGTCAGGACGCAAGAACCCTTTTGAGCTGCAATTGCATACCTGGATAATCTGAGCATTTGAGACCCTGTCTACCCGCAGTCTGCTACCCAACTGCTTAAACATTGCAGAGCAGACCTTTGGGGGTTTTAAGAGACATTAAGATGACTAGAAGCAACACGTAAGCAAGGCTGACCACACACACTGTGACAGAACATACATTATTATTGAACCCTGATATACTGAGCTACCTCTATATGAACGAAAGCTCAAATCTGACCTGAACTACTTACCTTGTTGCCTGCAAGTTGTCTGACAAAGCCAGAGTAGACATCATTTACGTACACCTCACTGTACTTCACTGCTCTTCCCCCAGCCTTATGAGCAAGGATTGTCACCATCACATCCTTCACTGAAAAGGAAAGAGCAGCAACATCCAGCATGAGAAACCAGGCACTCACCAAATAATATTTCAAGAGTCCACAACATCTACCTGAACTTGCAAGCAGAAAAACAAGTTTGGCCAAAATGCTTTCTTCCCGTTCACACTTGAACAACTTTTTTAAAGTCTAGGAAACTAAAGCTGCTGGCTGGAGGCTTTAGAAAGCAAATAAGACAAAACAGGATATTGAATTATTTCCTTAAAGGAGTAGATCCCTGATGCAATGTGCTCAGTTTCCTCTTTGCCAGGGACCAGTTCAATCCTTCAGTTTTCTGCTTTCCTAAACACTCATCCTCACTGACGCCAGAGGAACCAGCCATTCCCCAGGGGGTTCATCCTCCCTGACTTGCTCAGCACACCAGATGCTGGCAAGAAGCCTCCTCCTGCCTGGCAGTCCTCCTACACGATGTGCATCTTGAGAAACGGTTGCTCTTTCACAGGCCAAGTCATGTCATGACCCTTCCCAGATACATTTGTGCTCTTTGCTAAAAATACCATGGACCTTTTCAATGCACAAGCCCTCCTGGAGGGAGGAGCACCATGCATCAGTCTGGCAAGTGTGCAGGTCCATATGCAGGAGGACAGCTCTGCACATGCATCGATGGCCGTCAGACAGCACAAGGTGGGATAAGGTTCTCTCCTCTTCCCTTCCTTCACACTAGTGTCTTGCTTTATCCTGCTTCTCCAGGACCCATATGCATCCATGATGCCACATAATTTATGTGAGTTTTTTCAGTACTTCAGGAGGCATCACCAGTTCCAGTCGCTGAAGAGCACCATCAGAACACAGAGAAACAACCCCAGCTCCTGGGGCTGGGGGCAGCTCTGCTATTTCCGTGCAGACCAACAAACTTGTGATTCCTTGAGCACTTTCAAATGGGCCTATAACTGCAAAAGATAGAAGCTGCCATCTCTCCTCTCTCTTTCCATCAGGTTAGGGCACTCTTCAGACCCTTTAGGAGCTAGGGAGAGAGAAAAGTGAGAGCTTCAGAAGACGGTCCAAAGAGTCTACAAGTTAGATGTGGAGCTAGAAAAGTCAGTTAAAGGAAATGCTGAGCCTCTATGCAGGGTGCTTCACCATCAGCCAATGCTGATGGGAAGAAGGACCATCATCTCCCTCGCACAGGTTCAGTATCACGCTGGGAGGCCACGAGCATCTCCTCTCCTGATCTCTCAACCTTCTTCCAACCGCAGACACAGCACTACTGCTGGTCTCCTTCCCTGCAGATCCATGTGGCACGCTCTCCCCCTCAAGAACTGTTCCCAGAGTCAGAAAATAATTAATGAAGAGAGAAGGCATCCCCTGAACTGGAAAACCTGAGGCGAACAGCCAAAGCTGACTCCTTTGTTGGATCTGGAGCAGGGGTTATATTAGTGCTGTGAGTATAACACATTTGGTAAAGCCCCAAAGCAAACACGGAGTGCCTTGAAGTGCCGGTGCTGTTTATGGGCTTTGGGCTTTCTCAGGCTTCCTCCGTGGGTGCTGGTGCTTGGAAAGCAGCTGATTGCAGGACCGCTGGCATGAAGACTGAACACGATCCCAAACATCTGCTCAAAGAAGGGATGTCAAAGTCCATGCACGGAGTGGGTAGGCACTTGCATGCCCCTCAGAAAAGGAAGTGCAGTTGGGTTGGCCTGGCCCCAAGTGGTTTAAAGACTAGATCAGCTCCTTATAGGAGCAGAGGGGATCAGGAAATCTTGTGGGAGAGAAAAGCAATAAATCTCAGTGATGCAGGCTGCATCGGAGGCCCTTTAAAGAGTGACTCAGCCAGCATCGAGCAATTCTGGGTACAGCTCCCTGCTATAAAGAGAGCCTAAGTGGAGGTGCTGAGTGATCGCTTTATTGTTTCTTACAAACCTTTCTGTGAAATCCCTGTAAATATGTTTATGGGCTTGTTGGGGCGGCTTCCCCACAGCTCTCTGTACTGTAAATAAACATGCGTGCCTTTGATTTGCGGAAGTTTGTCTTCTGGACTCCATTACGGGCCCTGGCTCCGCTTCCAGCTCAGCCTTGGGGCCCCTCCTGCCCCGACGCGCACAGAGCACGGCATTTCTGTTCTCCAGTGAGTAACTTGAAGAAGCAACACATGTTTAGGATTACACGTCCCATATGGCGGCCCCACTCACCTCCCCTTCCTCCCTCCCTTTTGCCTCTCCTCCGAAGAGCTCTGTGGACCTCACTAGCTCTGGAAGAGCTGCCTGTGAAGAGGCCATGGGTGCCGCAGCAGGCCGGTATTCACCTTCCTCCTTCCACATCACAGCAAGAGCGGCTGGACATGATCCTCTGAGCTCACGTGTGCAAGGCAAGGCATCTTTGAGTGCTGGATGGTGTTTGCTAGCATATGTTGCATTGAAACCATGGGGCAACCTCAAGAAACTCCAGTTTTGGCTTCCACTACAGGTTTCCTGGGAATAACCCATTTCATAGGAGGGTGACCAAGGCCAGCTGACACTGCCCTGTTCTGCACAACTGGTAAAGCAGCCCATGCATCATCACAGCCTCATGCTTAAAGCAACTTTGAGATTGGTGCTGGTTGACCCTCAGCTATGGTGTCACTGGCAGAAGTTCATCCTCTGATGGATGAGTTACAGGAGGTTCAGCACAGGGAGAGGAGGGATGTATCCTCAGCAGTCATCAACATATGGTCCCAGCAAACTGAGTGCACCCATGAACTTCAGTGCACCCATGAAGGCATCCTCTAATCTACAAGCAAAACAAGTCTCCAGATATCCAGATAGACAGGGTTTCTTCAGTATCAAATGGTGTGGGGGCTTCTCCTCAAGTCTAAACCTATATTCCTAAACAGTACCATGACACTTATAACAAAATAAAAAAAAAAGGGGGGGGGGGGCGGAAATGAACACAAAAAAAAAAAACCCAAAACT